GAGGTAGAGGAGTGGGCTTGGAGATTGGGGAGAGGTAGAGGAGTGGGTTTGGAGATTGGGGAGAGGTAGAGGAGTGGGTTTGGAGATTGTAAAAAAAGTATCTATGTTGTTCCGGACTTGCTGTACCATTCTATTTCTGCCTTGTAGTTTCATTTATTCTACATGTTAGTCCTTTTCTTCCCATAAATCTGTCCTGAATTCTCATTTATCAGTCCTATTTTATCTTGTGTATGTCTTTTACTTTCCTTCAGCTATTTAGTATTCCTCTGTATTTGTTGTCTATCTCATCTATGCTCTACTCATCAGGCTTTGGAATGCTAGGTTCAATTCCTTTATCATTATCCCAAAATAAATGGAATTACTTATCTTAGAAATAGATTCAGAGGCCAGTACAGATGGCAGTGAAACAGGAGTTTTATTTAATGAGATCGTGTACCGTTCAAATGAAAGCCATAGAGAAATATCAAAGTGCCAGGCTAGACACACTGTGAATACCAGAAAGACATGGATTAACATTTACGTCAAGTTTATATGTGCCACCTAATGCTGATCCTAATATCCTGAATATCAACTGAAATAGCAGGACAATGAGAACTTTGGGGAAGGGAATAGGAGGAAAGAAGGTTTGAACAAGGGGAGGTGATGGATGGAGAAGGAAGTGAGGGGACAAAAGGATTGAAGAATAAGGATAAGAGAGGAGGTGGGGAGAGGAAAGGAAGAGCAAAGAAGTAGTGGAAAAGAGCCAGAAATCAGTTAAATTAACAAGTTAAAAGCTTTCTTTTCCCAATGATGCCTTGGTTACTTTAAAGTGAATCATTTTAATGGATTTTTTTCCTGTGTGATCATAAAAACCATTCTCATTGCCATCATTGCACTGAACATAGAAATAAATTTGTCAAACACCAATATGCTTCAGATTAGATGAAGAAGCTTTGGGTGAGACTATCAAGCTGTTACATTTTCCTCATTCCTAATATCAATGATAGTTTATAAATTAAATTGTGGTACAGATATTACCAACAGAAAATCATTCAGTGAATGCAGAACATTGACAGACCCAACTGCTGACCAATAATTCACCGGGTTTTTAGAATGAGAAGGGACAGAATTGAAATATGGGATTGAGAAGGGAGAATAGGCAAGAGCATTTCTGGAAGAAGAAATGAAGTCAGATGGGAAGGACAACTGGAGAGGTAGCAGGCAGCATGCAAACTAAAGGTAGAAGAGCATTTCCTTGTTTAAACGTTTCTTGACAAGGAACAACTCAGAAAGTATGACAGGATTTGGCTTAGAGCTGGCAATAAATTAGTAATAAAATGAATTTTAATACCACAGTTAGTGCAGTCTTCAATTTGCTATTCCAGACATGCTGGGAATCACGTATTTGGATCCCCAGATTTAGCTGTTTCTGTCCGTTCAATCGCTAAATCTGCGCCTTTGACGAGTTGGCTTCAACAGGTCAAACCAAAGGCTCCAGCGAAAGAGATAAGGGCAAGTTGGTCTCCTGTTATTAAAGGTTTGCTGTCGATGGTTTGAAGTGATGTTGTAAACCAGCTCTAATCAAATGTGGAGAACAACCAACGCGGTCATTGTTGCAAATCTCCAAGGTTTGCACAGGCTTGAGGTCCGAGATAAACGAAGTTAGTCTCCATGGTCTGATCTAAAATGTTCCTTAGATCAGCAATCCTGTGTTTGCCATCAGTGCAGTCTGGCTGTCTCTCCTGTTAGCCCGCTTTCGGCACTGTCTCACTTTCCAGCACACGGCACTGGAGATAACCAGGAGAACCCCCGAAGTCAGCAGCACCAGCCCGAAGCCGGAGATGATGGAGCCGTGCGAGTTGAAGCTATATGCGACAGCGGTGACCACCATACCAGCGATCAGAGTGACCAAACCGAAGGGCACAGTACACCGGGAGCAGGAGAGCTCAGCTCCGCCGGTAGCCGCCGCCAGCTGACCCTGGCTGCTCAGGGGCTGAACCGCTGTTGGAGCTGGGCAGTCCCCGGAGCCCTTCTCTGGGAGACTGGCGAGGCTGGGCAGCGCTGGCATCTCCTTCAGCGGTTCCTCTACCATCCTGCACTTCCCAGCACTGCTCTCTCCTCTTCCCTTTGTCTTTTCTAAACAAACCTCTTTGCTTTCACTCCTCCATAACATCCAGTCAGCGCATCCCAGGATGTAAGTACAATCAGATGGAGAGGGAAAGAGAGAGACCGTGAGTACCTGGTCAGAAGAGAAAGAGAGACAGAGAGAACACTAAATATTGAATGAAATGTTAGGGGGACAGGCATAGCACTACCTGGGATACAGCATAACAAAGCTGATGGGAATATTCGTCAACATCGTAAATATTCACAACAATTAACATGTAAACATCACAACAACAGCTGCACTTGTAACATGAAGTCTATTTACAATTAAACTAATCAGTTTGAAAACACGTTGGGAGAAGAGAACAGTGGAGAGGAAGGTAATTCAGCCCATTGTATCTGGACCGGCTTTTAAAAAGTTATCCAATGAGTTCGACTTCTCTGCTCGTGTAATGCCCTGTTAAATGTTTCCCTTCAAATAAAAACTCTTTTTCAAAGTCAGTTTCCCTCACTGCAGGTCAGAATACCTGGCTGCAGCGAGCTCCCTGAGCCTTAGCCCAGGGTCCCTGCTCCCACACAGCGCCCAGGATCTCTCTCACCTCAAGCCGAGTTCCCAGGCGCTCCTTGCCTCCCAGTTGCCCAGCTCCTTGCAGCAGCTACACACAGTCCGCACTGTGGGACTGACACGGGAGCTGGGGCTCAGGCTCGGATTCTGTGCTCCCAGGTACAGTCACTAAGAGGGAAACTCCTCTCAGTACAAGGAGGAGGGAAAGCAGAACAGAAAGCTGTACTAGTGAAGCTCTCTGTGGCTCCGGTGCCCCGTGTCTCAGCCTGTCTTGTGCTTGATTGCAGCAGAGTGACAGGGAAGCAATCCTTCCCGGAGGAGCTTGCCTGCAGATCGGGTTCTTCCCCCCTCCTCTCTCTCTCTCTCTCTCTCGATGTGTGCTTGCACGGATCCCAGTCCTGGCTATCATGACCTGACGCATTAAACCACCCTTATTTCACCGTAGTGTTACTTAATGAAAAGATGATATAGTATAGAAACTAAAACATCTCAGCAACGACAAAGAGAATCATCTCAACAGGTATGTGTGATATGAGTAATCTATTAGATTGTAATATATCAGTATCTGTCTGCAACACATCTCCATTTGAAAGGAAATAAGTCCATGAAATCTGTGTTTAGACACACTTGAGGTGGGAAGAGGGAATCTGTATGTGAGAGGAGCAGAATGATGGGGCTGGGGGTCATGAATACATTTTGCTAACATTTTAATTCTTTCTTGTTTACATGTCCCCCAGATCACTGATTTTTTTATTTGCTCCATCACTGTCTCTTTTTGTCTTGCATTGTAATCCCTTTTGTCATTTATCTTTCTGTCCACCAGCCAATCAGAAACCTTTCCTTTTTTCTTTCCTCCCCTCCTTTCCCTACCCCTGTACTCACTTAAAACCTGCTACATCTCAAACTTCTTTGCATTTGTGATAAAATTGATGAGCCTGAAATATTAAATAAAAACCGAAAGGGTTTGGGGAAGGGTCACCAGACCCGAAACATTAATTCTGACTTCTCTTCACAGATGCTGCCAGACATGCTGAGCTTTTCTGCAACTTCTGTTTCTGATCCTGAAATATTAACCTATTTCTCTGACTACAGCTGCTGCCTGACCTCCAGATTATTTCCGTAATTTTCTGTTTTTACTTCATTTCCATCCATTCAGTCTTACTCAGTCATAATTCGTGGGGCAGTCAGCCTGATCTCGGTTGTTGGTAAGATTTTAGAGACCATTATTAAGGATGAGATTGCAGAGTACTTAGAAGTGCATGGTAAAATAGGATGGAGTCAGCATGGCTTCATCAAGCAGAGGCCATGCTGACAAATCTGTCAGAATTCTTTCAGAAGGTAATGAACAAGTTAGACAAAGGAGATCCAGTTGACACTATCTGTTTGGATTTCCAGAAGGCGTTTGACAGGGTGCCTTGTTGGAGGCTGCTAAATAAGACAAAAGCTCATCAGGCAAAGTACTGGCATGGATATGGCAGACTGGCAGAAGGCAATGAATGAGGATAAAGGAGTCTTTTTTCAGGATGGCAGCCAGTGACTAATGGAGTTCCGCAGGGGTCGGTGTTGGGACCGCAACTATTCACATTATACGTTAATGATCTGCAACTTTTTAACTTTAATTTGTAGGATGTGGGTATCGCTGGATGGCCAGCATTTATTGCCCGTAACAATTAGTCCTTGAGAAGGTGGTGGTGAACTGCCTTCTTGAACTGCTGCTGTCCTCCTGCTGTAGATTGATCCACAATGCCATTAGGGAGGGAATTCCAGCATTTTGACCCAACAACAGGGTCAATATATTTCTAAGTCAGGATGGTGAGTGACTTGGAGGGGAACTTGAAGGTGGCGGTGTTCCCATGTATCTGCTACCCCTGTCCTTCTAGATGAAAGTAGTTGTGGGTTTGAAAGGTGTTGTCTGAGGATCTTTGGTAAATTTCTGCAGTGCATCTTGTAGACAGTACACACCTGTTACTGAGCATTGGTGGTGAAGGGAGTGGATGCTTCTGGATGTAGTGCTAATCAAGTGGGCTGCTTTGTCCTCGATGGTGTCAAGCTTCTTGAGTGTTGTTGGAGCTGCATTCATCCAGGCAAGTGGAGAGTATTCCATCACACTCCTGACTTGTGCCTTGTAGATGGTGGACAGGCTTTGAGGAGTCAGGAGAAAAGTTACTCCCCACAGTATTCCTAGCCTTTGACCTACTCTTGTAGCCTCTGTGTTTATGTGGTGAGTCCAGTTGAGTTTCTGGTCAATGATAACTCCCAGGATGTTGACAGTGGGGGATTCAGTAATGGTAATACCATTAAATATCAAGGGGTGGTGGTTAGGTTGTCTCTTATAGCCTGGTCATAGTCTGGCATTTGTCTGATGCAAATGTTACTTGCCACTTTTCAGCCCAAACCTGGATATTTTCCAGATCTTGTTGCATTTGAACACGGACTGCTTCAGTGTCTGAGGAGCCATGAATGGTACTGAACATTGTGCAATCATCAGCGAACATCCCCACTTCTGACCTTATGATGGAGGGAAGGTCGTTGATGAAGCAGCTGAAGATGGTTGGGCCTAGGACACTTCCGTAAGGAATCCCTGCAGAGATGTCCTGGAGTTGAGATGACTGACCTCCAACAACCACAACCATTGTCCTTTGTGTCAGGTATGAATCTAACCACCGAAGAGTTTGCCTCCTGATACCCATTGATTCCAGTTTTGCTAGAGCTTCTTGATTCCACGCTTGGTTGAATGCAGCCTTGATGTCAAGAGCTGTCACTCTCACCTCACCTCTGGAATTCAGCTCTTTTGTCCATTTTTGATCCAAGGCTGTAATGAGGTCAGGAGCTGAGTGGCCCTGGTGGAACCCAAACTGGGCGTCACTGAGCAGGTTGTTGCTGAACAGGTGCTGCTTGATAGCACTGTTGATAACACCTTCCATCACCTTACTAATGATCGAAAGTAGACAGATGGGACTGGGTTTGTGGATAATCGGCCAGGATGGATTTGTCCTGCTTTTTGTGTGCAGGACATACTTGGACAATATTCCACATTGTTGGGAAGATGGCAGTGTTGTAACTATATTGGAACAGCTTGACTAGGGGAGCAACAAAGTTCTGGAGCACAACTCTTCAGTACTATTGCTGAAATGTTGTCAGGGCCCATAGCCTTTGCAGTATCCAGTGTCTCCAACAATTTCTTGCTATCACGTGGAGTGAATCAAATTGGCTGAAGACTGGTATCTGTAGTGCTGGGGACCACTGGAGGAGGCTGAGATGGATCATCGACTTGACACTTATGGCTGAAGATTGCTGCAAAAGCCTCAGCCTTATCTTTTGCACTGATGTGCTGGGCTCTTCCATCATTGAGGATGGGGATATTGTGGAGCTTGCTCCTCCAGTGAGTTGTTTAATCATCCACTCCCATTCACGACTGGATGTGGCAGGACTGCAGAGCTTAGACCTGATCCGTTGATTGTGAAATCATTTAATTCCATCTATCACTTGCTGCTTATGCTGTTTGGTGTGCAAGTAGTCCTGTTTGGTGGTTTCACCAGGTTGACACCTCATTTTCAAGTGTGCCTGGTGCTGCTCCTGGCATGCCTTCCTGAGTGGGGGATATGCTGGGCCACAGTTTACGGATTGTACTGGAGTACAATTCTACTGCTGTTGATGGCTGACAGCGTCTCATGGATGTCCAGTCTTGAGTTGCTAGATCTGTTTGAAGTCTGTCCCACTTAGCACAGTGATAGTGCCACACAACATGATGGAAGGTATTCTCAATGTGAAGGCAACTGAGGATATCGTTGCTAAGTTTGCAGATGACACAAAGATAGTTGGAGGAACAGGTAGTATTGAGGAAGCAGGATGGCTGCAGGAGCACTTGGACAGGCTAGGAGTGTGGGCAAAAAAGTAGTAAATGGAATATAGTGCAGAAAGGGTGGAGTTATGCACTTTGGTAGGAAGAATATTTTTAATGATTTAGCGAAGATCTATAGCTCCAATAGTGGCTGGAGTTGTTCGTTAGTTCACCGAGCTGACTGGTTTTCGTGTAAACATTTTGTCCCCCTTCTAGATGACATCTTCAGTGCTGTCCAGCCTCCATTGAAGCGTTGTTGTTCTGTTCCATTCTGAATTTATATGGTCCGGTCTGTTACGGTAGTTCTGTTATGGTAGTTCTGTTTCCAGCTTTGCTCCGTAGTGGTATGTAGAAGAGGTCTATTTCAACATGTTTGTTTATGGTACCAATGGTTGAAAACCAGGCTTCCAGGAATTCTCGTGCTTGCCTTTGTTTTGCTTGTCTTAGTACTGTTACGTTGTGTTGTGGTTGGTTGGCTCGCTGAGCTGGTTCGTTGTTCTGCAGACGTTTCATTATCCTGCTGGGTAACATCATCAGTGCAGCCTCCGATGAAGCACTGTTGTGTTTTCCCGCCTGTCAT